ATGAAGTGCTTTTCAGACATTTAGTCTCCACCACAGCCCTACAAGTGAGTTATCCCACCAGGATCCTAACTTTAGCTTTATAGACCTGAATTTGGGAGAAACCTAAATTACTAACCAGGTAGTTAACGTAGCTTTTCTCCCTTCAAAACCCAAAGCTCTAACCACTGCGCTCTTTCTGACTCCCTTTTGTCACATGTCTCCTTATACCTGCTACCTCCCTGCCTGTCACTGTCATAAAGAATGACCAGTGGCTGGCCACCTCTACCCATTTTGGCCCCATTTCTAATGAAGTTTCTGCAGCATTGTCAAAGGAACATTTTTGAAACACAAACCTAATCATGCTGTGCCACCTATGGAAAGCACCTGAATTTTTTTTTTTAAAGATTTATGTATTTATGCATACAGAACTGGGGTACAGGCCAGAGGTGCAGGGGCGGTGAGAGGATTCACAAGACAGAGTGGGGAACAGAACAGGCAGATTGATGAAGCACACTGCTGAGGGGAGCAGTGGGTGGGTCAGGAGAGTCTACTGTCCACTGAAGCCCTGTCCTTTCCCTAGCATCCTCTTCTGCAGCCACGCTGGTCTCCAACACACCAGGCTCACGCTCACAGGACCTTTGCACATGCTGCTCCCTGTCTGGAGTGCTCTTCTAGACCCCCACCTCATGCCATTTTCACCTAGTGCCACCCTTCCTGCTGGTCACAGTGCAAATATCATTTCCTCAGCAAAGCCTTTCTCATCTCCAAACTAACTTAATTCCCCGGGTTGAAAGTTCTCTAACAGCATCTGCATGTCTGGAGGTTGGGTTTTTATAACTCTGTGTAATTCTTTGATGACTGTCTCATGGAGGATCACACTGCAAGCTCTGAAGTCGGGGGCCAGGCCAGGGTTGCAGAGAATGATAGCTGGTGTATGAATGAGAGGGGTTCAAGCAATAGCTGTTGAATAAGCAGAGCTACCATACTCTTCCCAGGGCATATGAGAAAGAGGAGTCCTGCCCAACTTCTGTAATATTCTTAGTCTTTCCATAGGGAAAGAGTTGAGCTGATAGTTGAAGCACGACTCATCAGCTGATGCCAGCCTGCCAGCTCTGTGCACTGAGGCCCTGCCGGTCTGTGCACGGAGGACTAGCGCCTAGACCTGGCAGAGGAATTTCAGTTGGTGGGTGCAGTGTTGCAGACTCACAGTTGACCTGCTCACTTCTCAGCAAAGTCAACCTAGGGGAGCAATTGCCTACCACATAGAGCATGAACACACAGTGTTGGGGTTGTAGATTAGTGTCTACTCCACCCTCAAATGCCTACGTGGGTGCTGATTATATAAAGGTAGAGACTCAGGGGTGACCTGAGATACCACCCAGTTCTTGAGTTCGATCTCTGAGTGGCAGAGTTGGAAGTTTGGATGCTGGTCTCCTGGTCACTCAAGCAAAGGGTATTTTCTGGAACAAGTCTGTGGTGCGTGGTGGGGGAGGGGTTTCCTCCCAAAGGAGCAGGGGCCCTCAGGCAGGGGCAAGAGTCACTGATGTCCCAGATTCGACCTCTCCAGGTGTTAACGTGTTCAGCAATTGGAGAGTCTTTGGCTTCTAAAAAAAAGTCAACACAAGAAGATCGTGTCAGATAAGTGTCAGATAAGTTTGCCAGTGTTTATTTCAGACATTTTTACTGTGATGGATCCAGAGAAAAGACAATTTAAAAAAACCGCAAAGCTAACTAATGGCGCCTTGATGAGAAGGAGGAGGACGGGAAGAGCAGAGAGGAGCGTCACCCACTTGAAGTCGCGTCTTCCACTCAGCAAATTTGGAGAGCAGAGAATGGATTTGTTCACCTTGAGAACTGGAGGGGTCATTGTGGTGCTCCAGATCCCTGCCCCCTAGCTTCCATTATTTTAGCTGCCATAATCCTGTTGGACTTGTTGGTGAAGAGAGACTATGTTTGACTTCGCTTGGAAACCGTAAAACCACAACAATATTAATTCTCCTGCATGCTACTAGGCAACACCAGCGTTTCTTCTGCACCAGGAGAAGGATTGTGATAAAGGCACAAAAGCACCCCCCCACCCCACCCCGCAATGAGCAGCCTGTGCAGGGGCCCTTCTGAGGGGGGCTGGAGGTGGTTCTCCTGGCTGATCTCGCTGAATAATCAAGTTAAGTAAGATTAAGATGCCAGGTGCCTCCTCAAGAAACCTTGGCTATGTAAGCAACAATAACAAAAACCTATAGAGCCTGACCCATCTCCCTAAAATTATTTGCTACTGACTTGGCAGTCAAAAGGTCAGCCTTCGTGAGCTTTTTGAAAGTTGATTCAAAAGAGCAGGCGGAATGTCCTCCCTGAACTGCATCACTTCCTTCCTGGGACCATCGGGGAACCTCCCCAGCCCTTCGAGATAGGTTCTGCTCAGAAAGGTCAGCCGGGCAGTGCAACCCGGGCAAAAGTTAGCTGCTGGCGCTGCGCATCTCCTTCCCGGCGCTCTCGGCCATTTCTGGGCCGGCTGGAACCCTGGGAGGTGGACCGGGCCGAACGGTTCTCCCTGAGGGCGGGTCGCAGCGCGGCTCCGCTCGGCTGCAGCGGAGAGACGCCCGCCAGAGGCCGTGCATCTCCAGGAGGTAGGGGAAGCCGGCGGTCGAGGCGCCAGCCCCCGCCACCCCACCCCCCTTCCCGGGAGCCGCGCATCCTGCAGCCCCGAGCTGGCCTCAGGGGAGGGGTGTGGCGGCACCTGGGGGCTGGACCCTGCGGGCCGGCCGAACCCTCTTAGTCGCCCTGTCCCTGCGAAAGGCGCTTCAAGCAGTGCCGGGGGCCGGGAGGCGGCTGGGGGAGGCCTCAAACCCTAGGGTGCAGCGGGAGGGGGACCCGATTGCAGAGGGAGGGAGTAGTCGCCGAGCAGCTGGGCGCAGGAGTGAGCGCGCGAGCGAGTAGGGACAGTGCGGGCGCGCCGGCGGGCGCTGGGCTGCGGCTCCGCGGTGCGTAGCCTGTCGGGGCAGGGGAATGGGGAGTCATGATTCCTGCTGCTCGTAAGCCCCGCCGACCACGTGGCTCCCAGCGGCTGGGCGGGCGCTGGCCGCGTGACCCACACTCCGCCGGGACACGGGGTTCCCTGGCCCCCGCCTGACTCATGCCTATTTTTAGCCGCGGGCCCAGGTGGGC